AATTCACTTTGAAAACCTTTTCTTCTGTCCAGTGATGTCAAAGTTTTAAAAATTTAGAGTACTTAGTACATTATGTCCCCTGTCTAAATTCAGTAATAAGCTTCAGATTTGTAGATCTACATAAAAAGAAGTGAATCGAAAATAAATATAAACTAATTATTTGGTTTTTGCGTTATCTTCCTTTTTTTGTATGAGAAAACATTTGTGAAAACAAATGGCACTATTTGATTGTGAACACATCCCATGGTGGCGTACTTCATAATCGGGAGTAAACTTTGCTTTCTTGACCTGTTTCTTGACAGAGGTTCTACGCCAATAATGGCAGTTTATTTTATTTTATTTCAGCCAAAAAGCTAACAGTACACAATTTGTAAATGAGGATAATTCCCGTTGGCACTCTATCGGGAACATTCATTGAATGTGCTACCTCAGTTGTTTTCTCAACCAAACTTGTCCCGCCCTTCTGAAGAGTAGTGAAATTCCAAACAATCAATCGCGTTGACCTCTTTTATGACCTCGGAGTTGTGGAATGATTAGACTCGTATACTTTGTGAAAACTTTCGTTTATTATGGTGGATAGTTATCGGAATTCGGCCCTATGCCGTCTGGAAGAGCCTGGAAACTCTGTAGGAGTGTACTAGGTCGTCCATTAACATGGCAAGAACAGCCAAACCTGGTGCATTTGCTATTGTTTTACACGATCACAAAAGCGTCTATCGTTTGGGCGACTCACTCAAAGGACATGTTTTGCTTTCACATAGCGAACCGCTTACGCTAAGAGGTAAGAACGCGTATGAGTTTCTGTTGGAAAATCTTATCTGCATGTGTGTGTTTAAATGACGTTCGCTGTTGTATTTTATATGAATTATGCTAACATATGATATCATAATACCAACTATCTCGTAGACCCGACCCGTTTTAGTTATCGGCAGTTGACACACCACAACACTGATCAATACGCTGCATTTTTTTTTAAGTACAATAGCTTGATTAGCGATGAAGTCAGTTTCCTAACCCCGGCGTGTCATACGGGTGTTCATAATTCACGACCCTAAGTTCACCTAAAAAACTTCAATTTCCATTTCATTTCAATTTATCCAAAGTGCTTTAATACTCTTTTATAACGTATCAATATCGTGTGCAACAGCTGTAACGTTGTGGGAACGTCAAAAAATGGTTTCATCTATTGCAATGTCAAATCCTTGACAGCTGATTCTTGCACTTGTCATTGACCCTGTAAATTTGGCTTTGTATTTTGTACTTGATCCTCCAAATTAAAACTTGGTACTTGGTGCAATTTGAGTATTCTGTTTTGAGGCCATATACTAATAGATGTTGACCCCCATGCTGATACCAAACTATGGCCATGACTTGTGTTTTGTTTGCATTATTTCATGTGGTTCCCCTTTATTTTAAATGAGTTTACAACAAGTATGATATTAAATCTGCACAGTCTGAATTTTGTGGGGTTGAACCTTGTCTAGTTTCAATAAACAGATGATTAGCTCATTATTAAGAATTTATTGCAAGTTATTATAAAGAATAAATCCAGACAGATGTTATTCACACTATAGTTGTCTGTGTGAATATCCTGTCTGTCATTCTCAATAAAATGCCATCATTAATACGGTAGTGTGTTGCAGTTAAACATAGATTCTATAAAGTCTATGATTTAACCACCAAATGGACTGCAGCAAGAATTTGTCATGGTCTTTTACACAGAGGTATTCCCTGACAGAGGCACATATATATATACTATTCTGGCAAAGCTGTGAAGGGTAATCCAAGCTGCATGTAGTCGAGGTCATTTAAAACTCATTGACCCTTGATGTATTCTCAGCTTGAGCTTACTACTTGTTATACCAGTCCAAGACATCACTGGATCCTAATCACTTTAACACAGACTATATGGTGTAAAGATGTATTCCTTGAGACATTGCACCCAATTATTTGTCCTAATCATACACACACCATATTTTAGGCATTCCTAATTTCATATGCTCTGCATAAAAAAAATGGCTATATCTTTTGTAATTGGGGTTACCAGTTCATGGAAATATTGAATAGGGTTAATTCATAATTAATAAAAATATCATAAAATGTACAGTGCTGTATTTATTTACTTGGGTACATTCAACATAAAGTAAATTATAGCCCACTGTTGATCACTATATTTTAGCTTGAATTTATTTTTACTGCAAACTTGGTTAACATGCAGACTCTAAAAGCTGTAATTTCCACTGGTACTGTAAAATACTTTATTTTCGCTTGAAACTAATTTTCGCTATTTTCGCTGAAGGAATGATTCAGTCAAAATATAATCCAGCGAATATACCTTTTTTCCTATAATTTGCATTCAATTCATCAAAAATCAGTGAAAATAAATTCTGTACAAAACATCCAAAATGTCTTTTCATCGAAAATTATTTCCAGCTAAAATAAAGTATTTGACAATACTTAATATTATTATAATATTGATGATACAAGCATATTCACTGGATTTAAGATTCATGGAAAACAATGAGTTCTATTGTAGTTTTATGTGTTCACATGAATTTAATATGGCGGATTTCAGTTATAAGCTAAATTACCAAGTGAAAAAATGATTGGCTAAACAGTAATTCATTTTAATTCATTTGGTCCAGACTAAATGCAAACCAGTTGGGAAATAGTATTTTCACTAGATTTTATTTCACAGTCCTTTATCAATTACTGTATACATGTTGAGATGCTTTTGAAATCGGCATGACACAGAATTTACATGCATGTGTTTGCTGTTTATAAGGATGTAGTAGACTTAACAGGGATGTTATAATTAGGCTTGATATTTTCATATAAGAATTGTCCTAAACTATAGTAAACTATATATTTTATTAAAGCACACACTCAAACTACTAGTACTACTAAATGTATTCATTGCATTATATCACTGAATTATTGAAATATGATTTACATTAATGTATGCACTACAAAAATAGAGGAAGTTCGGCATATACTGTGGAATACTTTATTTTGCGAAAAGAGTTTTTTGGGCGTTTTGGATGGAATTTATTTTCACTGATTTTTTTATTAGTTTAATGTGAAATATAGGAAAAAAGTATATTCGCTGGATTTTATTTTCACGGAATCATCCCTTCAGCGAAAATAGCGAAATTAAATTCCAAGCAAAAATCAAAACTTCTAGTAAGGCTGAAACTTTTTACTGTAAATTAGTATTCACCGCAATAACTAACACCGTGACTTGTTATGTACCAACATTTGATCTATTTTACTATCCACTTAGGAGTTCATTCATGCGTAACAATAGCTTTAACAGTCTCCCATGTTGTCATTGTATTGTCAATGTTATACTCAATGGGGTACATGCAGCAAAGATGATTGGAAGATTCTCTAATTCCAAACTCTGATTGATTGAAATTCATTCACTTCACTTCTCTATTTCTTTTCTGGGCAGACAACTACATGTAATCCTTGAGTACATATTGTTTTATAGTGTCTGTCTGTTATGACAATAAATGATAAATGCATTTATTGCTCTGATTCAGTGATTGTTTGAAGTTTTGTACTGTAAAATACTTTATTCTCGCTTGGAATAAATTTTTTGGAATATATCTTTTTTCCTATATTTTTAGCTCCGCTGTCGACTTTGTCGAGCGGAGCTTATCATATGAGTGATTGTCCGGCGTCGTCCGTGTCAATGTTTTACTTTTTCGACTTCTTCTTGAAAACTACAAGCTTGAATGTTTTGATACTTGGTGTATATATACCTCTCTCAGATTTGTTCATTTTGTAATGATATCTTCAATTCTCTAATTTTAGTGAATATTTTTGTCATTTTTGGTAAAAAGTGATATTTTCGACTTCTTGTTAAAAAGCGCAAGTCCAATTGCTTTGATATTACATATATAGGTACTACATGTGGACCTCTCTCAGATTTGTTCATTTTGTAATGATATCTTTAATTTTCTAATTTTGGTGAATATTTTTGTCATTTTTGGTAAAAAGTGATATTTTCGACTTCTTGTTGAAAACCGCAAGTCCAATTGCTTTGATATTATTTACATATATAGGTACTACATGTGGACCACTCTCAAATTTGTTTATTTCATGATATTTCAAATTCTCTAATTTTGATGAATATTTTTATCATTTTTGGTAAAAAGTGATATTTTCTTCTTGTTAAAAACCACAATCATTTATGGTGAAAAATGATATTTTTGAATTCTTGTTGAAAACAGCAAGTCCCATTGTTTTGATACTATACATATTGTTCATTTTCTAATGATATCTTCTGTTCTTTAATTGAAATGTGCATTGCTAACAGCGGAGCTATCTCAGCCGAGAGGCTGCTTGTATATTCATCTCGTCTAAAATCAGTGAAAATAAATCCCATACAAATTGTCCAAAAAGTCTTTTCAGCGAAAATTATTTCCAGTGAAAATAAAGTATTTTACAGTATACTATGTAGTGAGATGGAACAGTACTGTATCTTCGAATACTAGTATCTTTAATTTTAAGCTGGTTTCACTCAATGTCAGAGTTCTGGCTGTTCTCAAGAGTGGTAAACTTTCACGTCTTCAGAGAAACCTTTATTTTTTTTAATTTTGATTTGACTCTTACAAATTAGTTATTTTTTTAGTTCCATTACAAAATCTAGTCTCTGAATGATGTCCAAAATAGTAAAATAATTGCTTAGTTCACAATATGTTACATATACTTCTAGAGTATGTACCATGCTCAATTACATATACCATTCCTACTTGATGCACATACCAGACTACCAGTAGTAATATTATTTTATTATATCTGGGTGTGTCATATTTTAAAATCGTCATAGCGTCATGTTCGATATGGGTCCCATGTGACGTAAATACCACTGGTATGTAACATACTTTGTTTACACATTGTCCTGACTGTTGCTTTGAGATGAATCAAAATTATAAACGAAAGTGTAATTTATTTAAAACAATTACCGGTAAATTGAGTGGAAAAAAAAATTGTCAACACTATCTCTCTTTGCATGCGTTTTTGCTCTTCGTAACCCAGATAAGATATGCAATTATATTTCAAATATATTACCATCCCAGTACAAATTTTTCAGTGAAAACTGTATATTTTAATGATTCTTCTCAGTGGGAAAGATTTTTGTAAATCTCAAATTGATATATATTATTTTCTTTGATTTGATTCTTGTATGGATTTCATTTGGTTTCCATGGTTTCTTCATTTCCATGTTAGTTGACACTTGACCTGTCAATTTTCAAGCTATTTTGCATTTAAACCAGTTTCTAGATTTTTAGGTATAATGAATTTACTGAAAAAGAAAATTAGTTTTGCTGGTAATTGTATTTTTTTAATCAGACTGACTGGAATTCAACTGTCTAGTAACTGGAAATTAAAATTAAATTTTGGTGCTCAAAATTGAAATTCAGTTGTGTCCAGTCATTGTTACATGGTCGTATAAATTGTTATGTACATTTGCTCATGAATTTGTGGTATATCAAAAATCAGACTGTCTGGTTAATAAAGTTGATACTTTATTATCTGTTATCTTTCATGGTCACAACCAATCATATCCAAGACTTTTTAAGTGGGTAATATTAATAAAATGTTAATAAAATTAAAATACTGTTAATCAAATTAATGTTTAAAATTAGTTACGTTGGTGGTATGAAGTTGAAACTATTTTATGAACTTAACATAAATTTATTAGAATAAAAATAATTGAAAATATTAACTTTGTTACTCATCCAGGGTCTATACCACTGCACCAGGTGGTTA